TATATATATATATGTGTGTGTGTGTGTGTGCATGTATGTCCGTCGATATTGAAACGCATCGCTGTCGCTGGCAATGGGGTCAGATCTACTTACAGCTGAGTAATTTATAAAAATTCCAACTTGTTTGCTGTGCGCGCCTTTCCAGCCAAATGGCCAGACAAGGGGCAGCGGGCAAGGGACTCCAGTTGGGCTGGCCAAGCCGGAGTCTCGTATAGCTTTTGTCCGTGTACGGGTTTGGGTCTGGGTCTGGGTCTGGATCTGAGTCTGTGTACGGGTCCGGGTCCGGGTCCGGGTCTTGGTGGCGTCAAATTTATGGCCGTTGGCATTGCCCAATGCAAATTGTCAACATTGGCAAACGTCAAATGCTTTGCTGCCATTTGACTTTTCCCATTGGCTCTTCTGACTTTTTGGCTTTACGCTGCGCGCCATTTTTAAGTATCAGCAATTTGGTGTAAGAAATGCATCAGGGCCAGAGGCAAATAATGAAAAAAACAAAAAAACAAAAGTCAAGCATCGCACAACACAAATCATCTGATGACATCGGAAGTGCGAAACACAGTTGAGTAATTGAAGAGCGAGCACTTTTTTCACATTGTTTAATTACGGCCGACCGAATGATGGAATGGAATGCCCTGCCACGCCCACTAGTCGAATATTTGGGGCTCGATGCTGACGTTGTTTAGAGTAAGCTCGGGCCAAGGGCATAATCTATCAGCGAATTCAGCATCCCAATCCGATAAGTTTGCCATAAATCATGCCCAACAGAAGTTGTTAGGGACTGGCTTTGTTTACAGGGTATTCGGACCGAGGTTATGAAAAGCAGAACATATTCATGTAGAGACTATTCTTCCATAGAGTATTGCAGTACACATTCTTGAAGAGAGTGTTCGTGTAGAATGTTCTCATTTACAGGGTATTCTTAAGTGAATAGTTCATTTAGAACATATTCTGGTACAAGGTTATCTGACAGGGATTATTGTGGTGTAGAATTCTAGACTATACTAAATATGACAGCGTACTGGCATTCATATTTTGTTTAGTCTTTTCATATACTTAAAGGAGTTGTTGCCGAAACTTTTTTATAGAGTATTCTTTCTTACCTAGAGAAATCATAGAGGAAGCTTTCATTTAAATAATATTCTTTCAAGACTTGATATTTTACAGGGTGTTCTTTAAAGTGACTTATGCTAATTGAATGTATTCATTCACTGGTTATTCATGGGATAGGATTCATACTAAGAGTATTCATTCCCAGGGTATTCATATGTAAGATGTATCCTTTTAGAAAACACTCATGTAAAAAGATGTAGAATAGCCATTCTCAAAGGATACTTATCAAAATGACGAATAACTGCCATATAAGTACTTTATCCATAGATAACGTCTACTCATCTCTGCTGGAAAACATATATCTATGTAAGCAAGATGGAATCTCCTTATCATATCTCTTCTTTCTTCTCTTCTTTTCTCTTGTAGTAAATTATAAAATTCTGACCACAAAATTAAATTCCCAAAATTTAAGAAACTTTCAATCGTATTGCCCCATTGGGAAGAGGTTTAAATAGTCTGAAAAGGAAACTGAGTCATAGCCTGGTAATTATTCGACAAATATTCTGAATAAAACTTTAACTTCTACGAAGTAAAATTCTTTAAAGTATAGATATAATTGCATAAATATTATTTCTTTATTGTCACTTTCACTTTTCAATTATCATATGCAGATATGTATGTACATATGTGGGTACACGAATATCTTCAATTGACTTCATGTGGTTATGCTCGTATTTTCCTTATTTGTTTGTGGTTTCTAGCTGTGGCTGGAACTGACAGCTCAGCAATTGCAAATGCAACAAAAGAGTCGACAACACATTGTAAAATGTATGCAAGAGTAAGCTTCAGATAGGTAGTCGAATATGCCCGACTTGGTCATACCCAATGCAAGAAATACCTCGATCGAAATATTTTATATTCATTTTGTGGAACTAACTTGGCTAAGATTATTTGTACATAAGAGCTAAATATTGCATTCAATGCCTTCTAAGCCGACCAATATGCTCGCTTTTGCCGTCCATAAAACAGCGTATGAATATGTTATTATATTATATGAGGTCCTTATGCAAAAATCGACTTTTTTAAACTAATTTCTTAACTGAATTTACTAAATGAAAATTAGATTCAGAAATCAGATTCTGAAAATGTTTAAACATTGAAAAACACCAAAATAAAAAAATAAAAATAATATATAATAATTCAAAGAGAATATCTTTAAGTGATTCCCATTTTTCTATAAGCTCACATTTAAGGTTTTAGATTTAAATATTTTTAGTTGAAATTTGAACAATTTTAACTGTAATCTACTAATTGGAAAACAAATTTCATTACACTTAATACACTTTAATACACTTAAAAAATATATACATTTATATGAAAAGAAGCTGGTCTTACCTCGTCTAAGAACCAGAGAGCTTTATGTGTTTCAATTATTCTTTCAGTTGCCGCTAGGAACCACTTACCGCACTTTACTGTTTCTTTTTTTGTTTATATTACTCAAAGCCTTTGGCCTTACACTGAAAACAAATTGAAAATAATTATGATAGTACACTGCGCGAAAAGTTTTTGTATATTTTTTTCGAAAGAGTTTCAAGAATCGTTCTCTTCAATTTTCGCGTTTTTCATTCACGTCAAACTTGTTTTTATTTTGTAATATTTGATTTGGATTGAGTTGTATTATTTTTTTGGGGATTGGTGCGCTGGCCTCAGCTAGACGCAAGCGAACGCTGGCGTTGTCGATGCTGAACTGCTACTTGTTGGCATTCGCGCTGTCCTCTGACAGCCCGCAGATGCCAAATGCGCAGCTAGCGAGGGAGGGGGCGTAACGGTGCATAGCCACTGTGTGTGGCGTAAACATAGCGTCGGCTTTTCCCTCTTCGGGCTTGTGCTCGTCCTCGGGTGTTCATTCGCACGAGGCTCGTTTCGTTTGGGATTCATTTGAATTCGCTGCGCTGCGAATTTGTTTGCTGGGTTAAATACCGTTACTTTGCAGCAAAAGCTCAAGCGGCATTTGCCACGCTCTCTCTGTCTCTATGTTTCTCCCGCTCTTTGTTTATTTCTCTTTGGTTTTGCCGGCATATGCCAAAAGCTTTCTGATTGTGACGCTAACTTTCACTTTGAATGAGACACAAAGCTTAGATGCTGCTACTGCAGCTGCGACTGAAGCTGCCGTTCTTCTGATTGGACTACAAAAGCTAATTAGAATTAAAAGCCACCGTCTGCTTTCAAATGTCGCTGCATACTTTTATGCGCACAGCCATGGCAACAATTCCTTAGTAATTAATACCCTTTACGAACACACACTGACACACATACAGACACACATGTGTGTATGTTGTAAACTCTTTGAACTGTTCATGCCATCAACCTTAAATATGATTAGATTCGTTAGCCAACTAACCTGAATAAGACAGTTCAAGCACGGACAAGTTGAAATTTTAAAATTTAATTCATGCAATACCATGTTATTAATATAAAACGAATAGATGAGTGGAACCAAGCAATTACAAAACATTTTATAGTTTCTTAGTCCATGGACTTCAATTTGTTGTTGGGCATATGCCCAAGATATCCACCAAGTGATTCTCATGAATTACAATTGTAAGTTAAGAAATGGTTATAAATGAATATAACATATGTATGAATATGTATGTACATACATGTTTGCGAGTACATCAATAATGTTAAGCTCAAATATGTTTAAAGCTCAGCAAAATGTGTGCTATATATCAGCATATCTAATATATAATGTTTACACATAATCTAATTAGAATACACGTTGGTGTAGTAAACAACCATACGTATATCCATACGTGTGCTGGTCGTTGCACACGCAGCTGCACCCTGGCAACGCTTATTCTAATTGGAATTATGCTCGAGCTACGCCGGCTTAACAAGGCAAATGCGCTGAGAGAACGAATGAGAACATGACAAGAGGCGAGTGAATGATTGTTATATTTAAATCAATTAGGCTACTGCTAATCGGGGCGCTGGCTGCTGAATCCAATATATACACATGGACATTTGAATATAAATAAAGAAGCATAGCACACTCCAATTGGAATATATACACATGCATGTGTATTTAAATGTCGTCAGAATGGCAAGATTCTATTCTAATTGCTTAATTTGATAGCAGCTGACCATCTCCCACTCACTGACTCAGCAACTGCTATCTGTGTCTCACTCTCGCAGAGTAACAGCCTGAGTATACAGGAGTTTACCAACACGCAAACTCACACGGATAATACCGCCATGGCAACTCTGTGCAAGCTCTCCGTCTCATACCAACACTGCTGTAACAACAGAAGACTCTGCTGTTAAAACTCTACTGTTAACTTTACAGTATCATGTTACGTTAACGATACGTCATACACATACATACATACGTATTCAATTATACAATATACATATAAGCTGCACCCTATAATCAATCTACTTTCTACTTATTGAAATTGTTCCTATATCTCACAATACCAATTACCCACACCTATAAGCATATCATTACCTCTATTACCAATATTCCCTTAACATACTTTTCACTTTATATATATTATTTCAATCTGCAATGTCCATTCCCAATAAGAAGAAATTACTATTTTAATCATAAAAGTTTTTATATTTTTCGGTTTCGACGCTTAGCTAAGTAATATA